CGACGAGTTTGTGGACAGCAAGATCCGGGTTGACGCCCGGCATCTCTTCCATTCAAAGGCAAAAATGTCTTTGAATTCTTTCAGCAGTTGGTGCACATTTGCACCCAACTTGGCAAAAGCAATTGTCCCCACCTTAACGGTTTGTTCCGGATGGCTGTCGTCAAGAACAATGTCGATATTGGGGATGGAGATCATCTGACCGTTCCCCGATTAGTGATTGCTATTGCTTTTCTTTTTTGACGGCCACCAAGTGATCCGCCTTTCTCTTTTTGCCGGCTGCTTTAAGAGCACGCGCGGCTTCCTTGAAGTCATCAAGGTCAATGGGTTCATCGCCTTGGCCGGCTGCGGCCATAGTAGGCTTGACGTCTGAGAGATAGCACTCCCTTGTTGTCTTCTGATCTCCATTCAGGGAACCCACTGTCCCATCATCTCTCTCGAATTTCAGCTGCATGAGGAATGGGAGGATGACTGTCTTAGACCCGTTGAGGGTTGGACGGCCAAAAATCAGATTATAGGCGGTCAATTCCTCAACCACCAAGAACTTAACGACCATGTGCCGTCCCTCTCCCTTTTCTCCTAGACGGATGGGTAGGTCAATCCTCCCCACCGGATGCACTACTCCTCCCCCTTAACCAACTAAAGGGTGAGAGACTTTGTGCATGCTGCTAGGCTTGTACTTGAGCTTTGTCAAGCATCGATGGCTGATAAGGTCAGACGAGCTCCCGGTATCAATAAGGATCCGGCCCACTCGTTGGTTGGCAACCTTGCATTCGATGACTATGGGGTCATTATAAGGCCGCCTGACCTTGCCCGGTCCTTCTCAGAGATGATGACCTCAAGGAAGGTGTCTTTTGACACCTGACCCTCATCCACTGAGTTGACCTCTAGCTTTCGGATATTGTCCTTGGTGCCCCAGATGGTAGGATCCCCTCCCATGAAACCGCCTGCTATAGTAAAGATTTGCTCTTCATTAGTGTCAAAGCTTATAGCAAGGTTGTCAGGCTTCTTGGACGGTTGTCCACTGTTTATTCTGTGGTTACCCTTGGACTTCAAAATGTAGGACCTGAGGCTATAGAGCCATTGGTGTCATGGCCTATATCCTCATGGAAATGGTTGTACATGCTCTTGTCCCAGCTTTTGATGGGACTTTTCATTAAAGCCGGTTTCTCAATGGTCAACCGGTCTTTAATCTCCATGAGGATGGAGGAGCAGTCCTTGTTGAACTCATACTTGGGGACGTACGACTTCAACTCTTTCTTTTTCTTCTGGGACGGCTGACCAGAATTGTCCGCCACCAACACTTCTTTTCTTTTCTTTCTTTTCTTTTTTGTCGGAGTTTTTAGGGTCCGACGGCTGCTTGATGGCACAGAGTTCCGTCGCCTGTATATAGGCTTCGGCTTCCATCAAAGCCTCTTGGAGGGTTGCCACCCTCTTTCTGACCAAGTCGAATTTGAAAGTCGACCCGTCTTTCAGACTCTTGAAGAAGACTGTGTAGGCGACTTTGTCAGACAGCCCTTGAATCTGAATTATCATCAGATTGAACCGCCTGACATAGGACCTTAGCCCTTCTCTATCTCCCTACTGAATAGCCCCCAAATCAAGACTTGTCTTTTTGGTTGGGATGTTCATAGAGAATTTGGACGTGAACAAGTATGCGAGCGTCTTGAAGTTGTTGATAAATCCGGCTTGCAGATAGCCAAACCATCGTTGGGCTATACCCTTCAATGTCGTCGGGAAGCATCGGCACCAGGCAGCGTCATCCAACCCCTGTAAGTACATGAGGTTGGTGTAAGCCATTAGGTGGTCTTCTGGGTTTGTGGTACCGTCATAAGTTCCAACCAACACATTCTTAACCTTGGCCGGCTGAGCCGCCTCGATTATCTCCCTGGAGAACGCCGACGATTGTTCCCCAAGGTTTAGCAGCCGGAGATGCCAGTCCATTGGCTGGATATTTTGTGCCGCCTGACCCCCAAAGATGGCCGGCTACATGTAGGGTGATCCATATGCCATGTATGGCTATTGGGGCACATAGGAGCTGGTCAGATGATCTGAGGACCAATACGTGCGGACAAGCCGCGTGACTGACTCTCTCAGTTTGTTTCCGAATACTTCATCGAAGTATTCTGGAAACTGTCTGGGTAAGTCGACGTTGAAGCCGACTCAGACAACTGTTGACTTTTCTTCTGCTGGATTAACATCCGGGCATCTGAGTAAGTCTTTTTTTATCCATCTGGAACTTGCCGGATGGCCTTCCTTTTCCCTGATTCAGGGAAACGGAGCTTTAATAGATAAATCATGGGCCAATCCGTCCCCTTTGGCTTAGGATGAGGAGTAGGAACACAATCCTTCACGTGCTTCTTCCTTGAGGGAGAAGGCTTCCTGGCCGCCTAACCCTAATGGTGCCAGTCGACTTGTTTATCAGGTCCTTGATTTCCTCTTTGAAAATCGTCATGAATTTCATGAGTTCGTCTCTAGTAACGGGGGCAACACCCTGCGCCGCCTGGGGTTGCCCAGCCGGCTTGACGGTTGGGTTGCTTAGACCAGCTTTGTCTTCGCCGCGTTCCCTTGTTTCCTTGAAACGGGTGAGTCTTGTTCTGAGTGACCCGTCTAGGGCCACATAGGTGTCGACATCGAAGTCGTCACCACTCTCTTGGTCTGTATAGACCTCTACTCCGGCCAAAGGCCGGTTCTCATAAGCAGGCAGTACAAACTGCTGTGAAGTCATCTTAGAAGTACTCTCCCCACAGACGGTGCCAAATGTTTCTGGGTTTTTGGAGTCCCTCGGTAGAGTTACAATTCTAAGAATGGATGTCGATCGTCTATACCTGCAAAACCCAGAAACTCTGGTTGGGTGGAGTTCCGCCTCCGATGGTCAAGTTAGAACGTATTCGGATGTTAAAAGTGCGGAATGTAAAGATTTTTCTCTCAAATTCCGAGAGAATTCTGCAATTAATATTGCTCGAATTTAGTGTTTATATTTCTGAATGTGCAATAAATGAAGATTTCCCTCTGTTTACAGTGTTTGGGATCAGTTCCCCTTTCATGGGTTGGAGTGCCACGTGTCACCAGAGGGTTGGTTCTCTAAAAACCTCTCTGATGCTTACACGTGTCAGCATGCCATTGGTCCACGTGGACAGGGGTATTTTTACCTTAAACAGTTAAGTTCCAAATTTATTCCCCTTAATATGATTTTTGGATAAACAACTTTCAAGAAGTTGGAGAGTTACGTGGTTTTACCACGATATACTGAAGTAACGGATAATTTTAACCGTCAAGGGAGTGACGCAAAAGTGATTATAAATACGAGTAGTCAATTCACTCAAAATTTTCCTTCTTCATTAAGACAATTTTATTTCTCTCTCTTACTTTCTCTCTCTAAGAAATTCAATTTGTCAGAGTTCTTCAACCACATAAAGGGAAATGTATACCCTGATGTACAATTGCGCTTGCCAATTGTGGTAAGAAGAGATCTTTGAGCGCCATAGGATCAACTGGCTCCTTACAGAGCCTAGCGATGATGAATTTGAGGACTATCTCGATGATCTTGGGCTGCAAAATCGCGTGGCGACGCTCCAAGATGATCCAAGATATTAGAAGGCATCACAATAAGTATATCGCTGTATATATTTAGCCTTAAGTTTTGTTAAAAGAGCATACACAATTCAAAACTTATAAATTTTGAAATGCTCCTATTTTGTAATTATTTTATCTTTATAAATATTGAGTAATGTTTTTATTTTGTGCTTGATATTTGCAGAGTTAGACATACACAATGCTTATATTGCTTGTAAGGTCATAACTTGGTTGGTCTCAAACGCCATCAACCACCCAAATTAGGGGGGGCATTTGTTACACACAAAAATCAGATTTTTGACTTTTTATTTGACTTTCGTGACATTGACCGAGTTGAGAAGTTTCTGGAGTTAGTTAAAGGTCGTTGGGCTAGTTTGATAAAAACATAACAACAACTGGGCTGATATCACGCAGAGGCCCAATAACATATAGACCGGTTTAGGAGGCTAATGGATAAATTTAATTTTCAAAGTAGTGTTGGCGACAATAAGCATAATCGTACAACAGTTATGAGAGTCAGCCATAACCGCTCCATTTTGCCTATAAATAGAAGTGCAAGGATAGAAAGAAGACATTAGCAAATCAATCAACAACAAGTATTTCATCTTTTAAGCTTTCTTCTTAACTTTCGTAGTTTCCCTTGGCTTAGTAGCCAAACGATAGTGTAGTTTAGCACGTAGCATGTATTTAAGATTGTTCCTCTTTTCCAATTGTATGACAATGGAGGTAACCTCTCCTTCAACTTGTACAATTGTAAACCTAACTCTATTTTTTAATTAATGGAATGCATTTGTATCTTTTGTCATATGTTTATCTAGTCGTTTCCTTGAGCAATCTAACTTGTTTTAATTCTTTTGGAAAAACTTCCTTATTGTTTTGTTTTACGTTAACCAGGTTATCAATCTTTGAAACCAAAACTCGAGAGGCAGCCCCTTAATACTCTAGAATAAGATAGAGCAATATTTACATCAACACACATGATGACTGACAACTTTTTGTGATCAGCCACGTATGAAAATTAGTAAATTACAATTAGATGTCTCACCAGAAAAACATAAATAAATAAATAAATAAAAAATAAATAAAAACAATTAAACGTTTCCTCGTTTAACAAGCAGCCGTATTAGAAAACAATAATTTTCTTGCTTAATATTTTAAAATCTTTGTACCAGGACGTTATTGTACAAGACGCACTCCAATCTTGATTTAACATCAATTTATGCAATTATTTCCATTCTAGAATACTGATTTGTACAGTACCACATTATAATTGCATTGTTATGATATTATAATATATGCAACAGTAAAGGTGAATGATTAGTTTTATATTTCTGTAGCAGTATTAGTTTAGAAAATTCAAACCAAATCATCCTACATTCATACTGAATTATTTAATTATCAACTTCATATATGTAATTCTTCAGATTGATTTTATTACTATATTTTAATTCGTTATAAAAATGTATCTTGATGTCGTATCTAAAAACCAAGGGTGCTGGTTAGCACGATTGTCCTATAAATAACGCGCAAACTTCTCCATAATTTATATACATCTACTAAATAAAAGCAAAAGAACAAGAGTACAAAAAGAGAGAGATGAGCAACTTAAACACAAACAATAATGTTAATGAGGATACTAATGAGCTCCTTCAAGGCCAAGCTCAAGTGTTCAATCACTTGTTTGGCTTCGTCCATTCGCTAGCGATAAAATCGGCCGTGGAGCTCTGCATAGCTGATATCATACACTCCCATGGCCAACCAATGAGCTTATCACACATAGCTTCGAAACTAGACTGTACATCTCCTGCTGTACCATGTCTTGCGCGTCTCATGCAACTCCTAGCATGGAACAAAATCTTCACCGTTGATTATAATCGAAAATCATCATCAAAAGATGATGAAGGAGAGGCTTTATATGGTCTTACTCCTACATCTATATGGCTTTTACATGATAATGAGTTAAGCCTTGCTCCTATGTTTCTCACCTTCACCCACCCTTCGATGATGGCCCCGTGGCAAGAGATAGGTCGTTCGATCAACGAAGGTGGGACCGCCTTCGAGATAGCCTATGGTGAAAGTATTTGGGAGAAGGGGTCTAAGGATGATGAGTTCAATAAGCTATTTAATACAGGAATGGCATCCGTTACTAAGACTATATTGGATGCTATTTTGTGTGGGTATAAGGAAGGGTTTAGTAAACTCGAAGGAACCCTAGTTGATGTTGGTGGTGGTATTGGGAAAGCTGTGGCAAAGATTGTTGAGGCTCACCCACATATTAAGGGAATCAATTTTGATCAGCCTCATGTTGTTGAAACCGCCCCTCAATTTCCTGGTATCACCCATGTTGGTGGTGACATGTTCAAGGACATCCCTTTGGCCGACACCGTCTTTATTAAGGTACACTCTTATAACTCATTGATACACTAGCCTATATTAGTAGCAAATCCTAGTTTGTTGAAGCATATATAGCTATGAAAGTCCCTCATCGATAACAGAGGAAAGGGTAACGCACTTAATAAGGCAAAAAGGTTATTCTGATCTTTCGAATGATTACCTTCTAGTTTCCAGCTAGATGATACTACTTTTGTCATGTAATAAAGTGTACTTTCCCTTTCTTTTAACAAAGATTGTGAACTAGACTCGTATTTAACAGCTTAATTTAACAAATATGGAGAATGACCTAAGACTTCCAATCATAAATTATTGTATTTTAGTTGGTGCATGTGATTTGGTTATTTTATTAAAATGTTGTATAACTTATTACATTCTTAATAATTAATGCAGTCCGTTTTGCATGATTGGGGAGATGATGATTGCATCAAGATTTTGAAGAACTGTCAAAAGGCAGTATCAAAAAACAAAGGAAAGGTGATTATAGTAGACATAGTTCTAAATATGGAAGGTAGAGGACTTTTTGATGAAACAAAGTTAGGTTGTGATCTGTTGATGATGGCACTTTGTGTTGGTGGCAAAGAGAGAACACAACATGAGTGGAACAAACTGTTAAAAGAAGCTGGCTTTGCTCGTCACAACATCATCACAATTCCTGCGTTTGTTTCAATTATTGAGGCTTTCCCCCTTGAAAATTAATTAAACAATTGAAGTCATGCTAGCCTTTTCTAGTTTTATCAAGTATGCTCTTTTGTATTCACCTTCACCCCCACCCCTCTCACACACAGGGATGGGGTGGGTGGGGTTGAGTGTCGAATTATATTAATAAGTACTTTGTATTAATAAGCAGTGTTGTATGTTAATGTAACTATTTCACGTTAAACAAAATATAAGATTTCTGTTTAATTTGAATTTATTGTAAGCATGAAAAGTAATTGTATGTTATACTTCGGTAATTGATTGTTACTATAATACGAATTATTAAATAAATTTGCTATATAAATTTTATTTAATTTTAGAACTATCAAAAATACAAAAATTAGATTTTGCTACCAGTTAACTTAGCTTCTTCCGTTAGGTTCCATTAGTGGTCAGCTATTAAACTTTATTTCTCGTTTTATGTGCCCAAAATTGTTCCGCTATGATTTTGAGGGTCATTTTGGGTCTTAAGGAACCAAATTGCACTTGGATTTGGCAAAAAAAATAATATAAATGTTTGTTTTGCTTATTAAGAAATATCTAGATTTGCAGTGACGGCAACAAACCCTGAGTCTATGCTATTTCCATCATCATCCTTTTCTTTCTCTTTTCTTTCTTCTTCTCGGATTTGTTGTCTGTCCGAGAGTAGGTGAACTTGGACTTCAAGACATACGATTTGAGCATGCCCTTCTCGGCCAGCTTATCTAGCAACCTCTTCAAATTGTTGCAGTTGTTCGTGTCATGCCCCACATCCTTGTGGTAATGACAGTACTTGTTCTTGTTTCTGTACTGTGCCGGCCCTCTCAAAGACTGAGGCTTTTCGAACTCGAACTTGTCTTTGATTTCCATCAAAATTGAATAACAATCTTTGTTGTACTCGTACTGAGGCTCGTATGTCCTGGCTTTCTTTGCCTTCGTCTGTTGGCAGCCGGCCTCCTAGACTTCTTTTCTTTTGTTGCTTCCTTCCTTATTTTTCCCAGCCGAGTCTTGCTAAGAAGATTGTTTCTTCTCGGCCCCCTTGGCCGGCTCTTCTGATTTTGTAAGGGAATAAAAATTAGCTACCTCAATATATGATTCGGCCTCCCGCAGAACACCTGTGTATGTCCGAATCTTTTTCCTGATCAGATCAAAATTGAAACCATTATGCCTTAAACCTCGAAAGGAACTCCGAGTAGGCCATCTCATCCGGCAGATTCTGAGTTTGAGCTTTCTCCAAGTTGAACCTCTAGACGTACGAGCGCAACCCCTCTTTCTTTCCTTGGACGATGGTTACCAAATTAAGACTAGTCTTCCGGGGTGGAATATTGTAGGAGAAGTTTCCAACAAATAATAAGTTGAGCATTGTGAAGCAATTGACGTACGAGCGCAACCCCTCATTCTTTCCTTGGACGATGGTTGCCAAGTTAAGATTAGTCTTCCGGGGTGGAATATTGTAGGAGAAGTTTCCAACAAATAATAAGTTTAGCGTTGTGAAGCAATTGATGCATCCGGCCGGCAGACTATTAAACCAGTCTTGAGCCACACCCTTGAGGGTAGCCGGGAAGATCAAAGGTGGCATCATCCACACTCTGCAAGTACATCAGATTTCTATACAAGGTAAGATGCCCTTCCGGGTTGCCTGTACCGTCATAGACACCCACTACTACGCTCTTCACTTTAGCTGGAGGAGTAGAGTTGAGAATTTCTTGAGAAAACGAAGGCGGCTTGTCACCAAGATTCAACGAGTGCATTTGCTAATCAATAAGTTGAGATTGTGCGGCCGGTCCGCCCAGGTATGCTGCCTAGTCATACAGCTAGCCATACTGCCCGTACTGCCCATAGATAGGGGGAGTAGGCGGCAGAATTACAACATAATTCTAGGGCATCTGGAATTGAGGTGGTTGAGTTAATAGAACTAGCGTTGGAGTATGGTGAGCTTGACTCCTGCTGGTCCTGACCGATCTGGTATGCTTGGAGGGAGTATGGTTGAAGAATTAATCCGGCATGGTAGAAGTGGAGGCAATGTCCGAGTAGTGTGCTTGCTCCCGCTGCTTATGCCGGAGATAGTCTCTAGCACCTTTACAGCGCTGGGACGACTTGTTCGTTGTTGGGTTTTGTAGCGTCCAACACTACGCGGAAAAGAAACCTGCCTACTAATTAAAGTAACTAAACATGCAATCACATAATTAAACAACAAAAGAGAGAGAGAGAAAGAAGACCATACCCTCGATGCGTGCTTCGCTCCCATAGAGCTCGGACTTCAAAGCCTTAGCTCTGTAAGCGCAAGAGCCTCCGACAAAGTACACCCTCGAGACCTGACCTGAACGGCCTCTAACCCGAAGGTTAGTCGGGGCTAGACCAAGAAAAGACTAGAGTATTACAAACTTAAAGGTTTTCTCACCTATAGGGAGATGCCTTATTAAGTTCAACTCAAGTGGTTTTTCCCAAACCCAAAACTTGGGTATTTATAGGGAAAAGAGACTTGATCTCCGTTCTCCCAACAATGTGGGAGAATTGCATTTTTCCACTAATTTATTTAAATCAAAAAACAAATTAAAATGCAAAGCAATCAATAAGCTCCAAGTGTCACATGGAGGGAGAAGGTTGGTGATGACCACCAAAGCGGGGACCAAAACATCTTGATCCCCAAGCCAAACACGAAGAAATGGTCCCCTCCCTTGACCGGGTTTAATCACGCCACTTGGCTGGCTGGCAGCCTGCCTTGGCTGCCAAGGCTGCCAGCTGGCGCCTAGCACCAAGGCTAGGCAGCCCAGCCAACCAGCACACTGCCAGCCAACACATGCATGTGATGCTTCTACTTGGTGCATGCTGTTGTGCGAGTGGCGAGTGCTGGTTGGTGCTACTACGCTAGCAAACACGCATGCACAGCCCAGCACACATAGCATGCTGTTGCGATGCTGCGATGCTGCTGCTTGGTGCTGCTCGCTAGCAAGCACGCATGCACAGCCCATAGCACAAGCACGCATAGTGTGCTGCTGTGCGAGTGTTATGCGTTGCATGCTTGCGGCTGGGCGCGTGGCCAAGCACACGAGCACGCTAGCATGCGCTAGCTGCTAGCATGCTTGCAGCCATGTGCACCAGCCTCGCTAGCATGCTCAGTCTAGCACGCAATATATGATAGGCATGCAACATGCCTTATGATGCGCATGGTAGCTTAGGCTAGCCTAGCACTCGCATGGCTAGGCTAATGCGAGGCTACGGCCTAGCTCGAACTTGTCGCTTGCTTGATTTCCCATCTCGTCGAATTCTAAACTCGACTCGACTTGCGATGCTCAGTTTCGTAATACTCTAACGACTCATCTAATTCTTCAGATTAATTCGTCGCCTCGGATCGATTACTCGATTGGGTGTGACCCAAAGGGTTCAGTCGAGATTAAGCTGCAATATTAAATACACATTAATATTACTGATCGGAAGCAGCCTCAACCTAGGCATTCCGATCACTTGACCTCACTGAATATTTAGCTTAATAATTCCAAACCCTCTATCGGAATAATACACTTGTTGGAAGGACGGAGTTCCTTTTAATCTCCCACTTGTCCTTCCGGACAAGTGTGCAGTTAGTGTACAGCCCATTTCCTATGTCACTTAATATCTCTTCATGAACTATAAGGTAAGATTCTTCGTCATCCTTATTACGTCCAGAAGTGTTTCTCGATTTCCCAGTTCGACTTTCAATAAGCAGATGATTTCCAAAATCCATCTTAGCACGGCCATGCATTTTCACAGTCTCGCTCTTCAAGAGGCCTTGTAAACAACAAAGACATGTTTCCTATTGTTAATAGGGGGACATTCCCAGTCTTGCATTGTTAGCCTCCTTTACTAAGAGGACCTAGCCGCCCGAGTGTTTCTGTTATAATCCCCATTTACAGCAGACGTTTGACAACATCAAAACGGACTAGTACTCAAACAAGAGAACTTACAATACTCAAGGTCGGGGAAAAAGGTTCCGATAGCTATAATGAGAAATATACTTATGACGATTTTAAATCTCTTAAAGTATTCTTATAGGTCAATCTGGAATAGTTCTAAACCAATACCTGTGCAAATGATTTATGACAATTATGTCCTCGTAGCACAAGAAACGGTGTTATAAATCATACTACAAACTAATCTCAAGTGGTCATTAATCGTTCATCATTTAAATGACCTTGATTAGGGATAAAAATCGATTGAAATATTCAATGTTCACTTAATAGGTGTTTCTTTATCCAAGACATTGTCTTGATACCCTATTTTGAATATTCTCAGAAATCGAATGGACTTTTTATTTAATTCTAAACCACAATTAAATAGTTTGTGGAATTTATTAGTAAAATTTTTATTCCACTATGAAACTTTTCAACGTTTCATCTCATGATAAATGGTTTTCCCCAAATTTTTCAAGAGTAACACTCTTCACAAAACATTTATAGAAATTATACCCATATTTAATATGCTTGATTTCTTTCATGCAATTCTGGTGAATGTTGTCGTTCACTTATTGCATAGGTTTAGATATGATTACTTTGCAAATCTTAGCATCTTTATTATCGAACACTTTCATAATAAGATGATAAAATTTGAGAGTGTTATGGATCATATGTGATTTAGGATTTATTGTCCAAGTAATGGCCCCCACTCATTTTCATGATTTGAGACCCTTCAACTTGACAACCTACAATCATTAACATTCGACAACGAACATTCCATTGAACACCTTCTTATTATTTCCTTCCAGGCAACAATATTCTCAGCATATATTTCAGTAGACTTTCTGATGGTGCTTTGCTCGGATTTCATTCCAAACGGCTCACAATGATTTGGGAGACCCTAATCACTTGTGATTTTGGAAATTTACCTTAAATTTTCTCACATTATACATGGATACGCGTCCATTTTACCATTCTCAAGCCACGACGCATCCTAGATCATGCTTATAAACGGCTTTCTTATTAAGGATCTAATCCTTGCTAAGGATGTGCTTGCAACATCAATTCTCAAATTACATTCGTTTCCATGCGTCAAGAACTTATCCCCTTTTACTTATCAAAGTACTTTGGATTTTTCTTGATCATAATCTAACGATTCATCACTAAGATTTAAATTGATTGGTATTTTATACTTCTCATGCTCCAAGCATGTGAGTTGAGTGACAACTCCATATCATAACATACATGATGGTTTTAATTGCCGAATTATTCCCAATATTGTTCCATTCATGTGACCTTTTAGCTCATCCAGTTTCACCGAGTCTTGCTAAATTGTTTGCTATGTGATACGGTTGAAAG